CCCCCCCCCCAACGGGAGCATCGCACTAAATATGATTTTCACCGGGTTTTGTTCCTTTTTTTCTTTTGGTTTGTCTTCGTCCTCTTTTCGCCTGGATTCCTTTTAAACCCCCCGCCACAACCAGTCATGGTGAGCCGGCCGTGTAAGTACAGCTTTGCGGCCCCTTCGTTCGCCGCGTCTTTTTTTTCTTTTTTTTTGGTTTTTGTTGCGGCTCCTCCTTCTCTGTTGGCCTGTGACCCCCTGTTGCCTTCGTTCGTGTTTTCTTCCCTCGGGCCGGCCTCACCCCGGGCTCCTCATTTGCGACGCCTGTCGGCTCCCGCTCGGCCTGCCGACCTCCGCTCTTCCCTCGTTTCGCGACGCCGAGGACGCCGTTTGCACGGTGGCGCACTGCGGGACGAAACCCTTTGGCACCTTCATGTCGAGGTTCGGCTTTTTCTCCTTCTTGCTGGTCGCCGGGTGCGCGCTGAAGGCGATGAGCGCCTCCTGCTCTTTCAGTTTCTTCTGCTCAACCTCGAGCCGGGGATTGTGAGCGGCCGGGGTCAAAAAGTCGAGTTTGACGCTTTCCCCCCTGCCGGCCGAGCCGTCGCGAAAGAGCGGGGCGAAGATGCTCTCCACCTTCGCCGCGGCTTCGTATTTCTCCCCGCCGGCCTCTCCGGAAGTGGGCGGGAGCGGGCGGTTCACGGGGACGCGGTAGCGCAATAGCTCCCGGCTCGCCGCCTCGCGCGCGAGTTTCTTGTTGTAGCGTTCGTTTTGCATCGCCTCGTGGAGCGCGGAGGGGCGTCCGTGAACGAGGCCGTCGCGCGCCATCTTTTTGGGTTTTGGTAGGAGAAACTGTGGGGGAATCTCCGTTAGTTCCGCGCCGCCGTCTACCCGCGCAACGGCCAGCACCTCCCTATCGCCATTTGGGTCCATATGCTTTGTCGTGGTCTTGCCTTGTAACTTTTCTTTTCCCCCCTTCCTTTCTTGGATTGAAGGGCAAACTTCCGTGGCTGTAAGTGTCGCTTTTTTTCTTTGTTGGTATTTGTTATTGGGTGTCGCTTCGCGTGGCTTGGCTTCCCCCAGCTGCGGGCGCACGCAACAGGCCACAGCAGCAGCCGTGGCAGAAGAATTAATAAAAATAAACAAAGAAAAATGGAGAGGAGATGGCGGCGATACACAGAGGCGGGGGAGCCCCGCACCAACCGAAGGATGCCGCGGCACAGCTCGCGGCTGTTATTTTGCTCCATTTCTCCGCATCTTCACATTCTAGTTTTGTTCTGCCTTTCCTCCGTCCCCCTCCCACGCACCCGCTCCCGCCGGGCCTTCCCTCGCCCCTGCTAAAAACCATGCATTTTGACATGCTTGTAGCACTCGCGGCACATTTTTTGACCGCCGTCACCGCTCAACGTGCATCCGCCGCAAATGGTGGAGCCACACAAAGAGCACTGCACCCAAGAAGAAAAGAAACCTAGTTTCGTCTGGCACTTATGGCACGATCTTGAATCCCCCTTGGACGGCATTGAGCTTGCAGCTGCTGGCGGGAGTGGCAGCTTTACTTCCTCCAGAAGTTTTCGCATCACCGCCAACTCCTCCCCGCGTGCCACGCAAGAGTCCAACACGAACTGCTCAAAGTATCGCCCCCACTCGCTGTGGAACGCCACCCTCTGCACCACAGTCCGAGACGCGTCACGCAGACCTGTTGAGCAGTTATCTCCATCGTGCCGCAGGTAAAACGACTCCCAAAACACGATGCGCTTGCTGCTGCAGTTGGGTGAGATGCGTAAAATGCCATGTCCGCTCTGCTTGGATATGTACTTCCACTCCGCCTCAGAGTCGTAGAGACTGTTGACGAAGCGCAGCGGCGCCTCCCCCGCCCGCTCCCTCGAAGCAGCACGGCAGACGTCGGTCCATATCGACGCGGTGCCAAGTCGCACCCCCTCAAACATACGCTCCTTTTCCCCGTTGCAGAGGAAGGTACCATGCAGGCAGGCATAAACCTCCTCACTGAGGTATTCTAACAGCAGTGGGGTGAACTCAAAGTGCTTTGGGAACTGACGCACCACCTGGAACACAACATCCATCCACTGAACAAAGATGGGAGAGGGCTGCAACTTCGCAGCGGACGGCTGCGCCTCTGTGTCAGATCCCGACACACCAGCGTCAGAGACATAGCCGGTGCTGCCCAGCACCTGATGTCCACACCGCTCCGCGAACTTGTGTCCAAATGAGCAAAACTCCTTCTCCACCAACACACAGAAACCCACAATAGTACGGTAAAAAGGATCCAAGAGCAGCATCGCCGTGGCCGTGCACTGCGAGGTGCGATCCCAACCATCGGTGCAGTGTACAAGGCATGAATCCCCGCGATCGAGTGCTTCGGCAATCTCATTTGAACACATCAACACACGCTGAATATGGCTTAGCCAGTTTGTATCATGCAGCTGCGCAAGAAAGCCTTTTCTCGGCTCTTTCCCATTGAATTGGTGAATGAGAGCCTTTAATTTCGCAAAAGATTTGTTGACACTGTGAATATTTTCGATACCGTGGAACTTCACCTCACAAAAGTCGTGCGTGGCGCCCATCTCGTAGCCCCCACCCATGCTGCGATTAGCGTTGGCCGAACCAAATGGTCGGCAGTCCGAAACGAGTAGAGTGCGTTGCCGCCGTGCGTTGGATGCCGTGTCCTTGTTCGGTGGTGGTGCCGCCGCTGGCCGCGGTGCTGCTTCGCTGGGCCCCATATCGAACAAGGAGGGTGGCGGCACCAGCCTGCCACTGAGCGTTGGAGTGGGCATCGTCGCCGCCACCGCCGTCGTCTCGCGCCTGGCCGCAGCATTGTGGGCGTGGTAGCCGTTGTTGGTGAGCATGTGGCAAAGCCCCCCGTCGTGCCGCAGCGCTGGCGACCGCAGCAACGGCTGTGACGAGCGCGCGAGTACGGCACCCGTTCCGAGGTGCACAAACGACACAGCAGGGAAGCGAGCGTGTGAGCGGGCCGCCATGACGCTCTCAAGCAGCGCGTCACTCGCGGCGTTGGGCACCACCACG